GAGAGAGAAGGGCTACCAATATTTGATCCGACCCGAAAACTCAACTCGAAAATTTTGGGTTAGGGTCAACCCGCACCCTAAACGGGCCTGTTCGGGTTTAACAATTCGACGTTTCAAAAATCGGGTCAGGTTCGGGTTGACCCTTTAATCCGAAATTGATCCATTTTAACACGAAAACCCATTTTTTTGGGCTGACAACCCGAGATTGACCTGTTTTTTACTCGAAAAGCGGAGATTGATATGTTCTTCAACCCGAAAACTAGTAATTTTTTGTTGGCACCAGGTCATTTAGGTCTTGTTGGGTTGACCCGAATCCGAAGCGAGTCGGGTTCTGGTCTGGAAAATTGACCCGTTTGCAATAACGGGTCGGGTTCGGGTTTTAGTTTCGAATTCAACCCGAACCTGACCCGTGACCCGAAATTGACAACTCTAAGAGAGAGAGAGAGAGAGAGAGAGAGAGAGAGAGACTTTCCTTTTTATAAAGATTGTTCTTACTGGATTCTTTTGATCATCTTTCAGATAGCCCAAGCTCCCTCAAGTGTATATAGTGGAGGATGGTTGCCAAATTGGTGATGGGAGTGGAGAGTTTTTCATTTAGCTGTATGTGATTTTGAGCCTTTTGAGAGAGTATTATCAGCCTTCTCTTGTTAAATTCCCCCAATACTAAAAAAAGGTGCAGGTAAATGCAGTTGACTAGCAAACATCGGCCTCATTTGAAGATCCAAATTTTATCAATAGGCCCTAATAAAACTGCTACTTCAACTTCCAGATTCGTAATTTAATTTTTACTTAATGCAGCCTTGACAATGGATTTTTTTTTTCTTCCTGCAATATGTTCTTGTGCTCCCAACATTGTATGCTATTGAGTAAGACAACAAGCTGATTTTATGAGGAACAAGTGATTCAAGACTTTCATAGAAATGCATCCATCCTAATACCGCAATGTAAGGGTCTGATTGTAAACTTTGAAAAGTTTTAATTTATTTTTTTATTTTTAAAATATGTTTTTCTCTTTTCCAAAACTCATTTTTCAGCTAAAAATATAATAATATTCATATCAAATACTAATTCATGTTCATCAAACTTTATTTATTTTATTTTCAAATAATTTATTTTTTGTGATTAGTGTTATGTCAATATTAACATTGCATCATTCACACTAGAGAATAAAATGAAATAAAATGCGATAATGCATTTGCATTTGGGGTTTGTGTGTGAGGCTCATGCAATTGCAAGAGCCTATTTGCAGTTCGGTTGGAGATGACTTACTTAAGCTTATGAATGCGCTCACACGCATTCCAGAAGGTGCTTCTACTAAGGCTTTGTTCGGGGCGATTTTTTTATTGTTTCATTAAGTAATTTTTTAATAAAAATATTAATTTTTTTATTAAAAAATCGTTTAAAAAAATAGTAAGAAAATCATCTTAAAGGAAGGATAAAATTGTTTAGAGGCCATCCAGACAAATTTAACATGCCAGCTTTTACCTAATGAACATCTTGTGCGCCCTAATGCTTCGAACTTGTAAAGCCATTATCTGTTTAGCAATCAAATAAAATGTGATTTGTCCTCAGCATTTCAAAGAGCGAGGACGTACAATCTGATCTGCAGAAATCACCTTCAAAGTAATTTGAAAAACTAAATAAAAATAGGCAAGTCTGCAGTTAAAAAGCATACAGTAGCTTGTTTTTACATGCGACAAAAAAGAAGAAGCAGAAGAAGAGAGATCTACAGAAACCAGCAAGTTCGCAGCTGGTTTTTCAGACAAACTTGAGCTTTTCATCGCATAGGGTAAAGTAAGAGTGAAGATTGCTTCAATTTAGTAACTTACGGTTTCTTTGATTGCATGTAGAATCTGCAATAGTGTTTACTAAGGTCAGCGATGGCCTTCAATGGAATGAGAAAAGGAGTTTTAATGAAAGAAAAATGAATATGCTGAGGACCTTGTTCTTTGTTGGCATGTAGAATGGCTCATAAACAAGAGGGAAGGGAGTGTCCAGGCCGCATACTCTAGCTACAGGAGCTTCCAACTGCACAGTTACTCGAATAAATAAATTAGATAGGCATTTGATCTGATGGCCCCTTTGCTTAAATAGTAAGTTCATATTTAAACACTCTATTTATGAAAACAAAAGCAATACATTTGAAGGGGCCTGTCCTGGGAGAAATTATTCCGTGCGGAGTCTGAACGAAAAAACGGGAAGTTCTTGTCCGGACTGTGAGTGTACACGCTGTGTACAAACACTGTATATACAGTTTGAACCAAATTATGTACAAAAATTATACTCAATCTACACAGTGTGCACGTACACAAACCGGACGGAAACTTCTCGTCCGCACTCCGCATGAAATAATTTCTCCTGTCCTGGAGTTTAACATTCATCATTATTTCTAAGAACAGCTAAAAAAACGATGGAAACTGGTAAACTTCATCGTTTACTGAATCGGGTTTTCTAGATGGTGTATTTTATCTACAAGAAACCAGATGGGACCATAGAAAAGTTCTTGGTATAAAGTAATCAAGAAGCTAAACTGCTTTAACTATAAGCCAGATCTCCAGGCTCACAGCACAAAAGCTGTGTTTCAGCTTTCTAATTTATTATGGAATATCATTATGCAAAAGCTGAATGAATGAAGGTTTAAAACTCAGATTTCTAACTACATCCAAACAAGTTCTATAACTTCAATGCATTCAAATGAGCCCTCAGATGAGACAGAGACTTACCCTAAGGAAGCAGCGTTCTGCAATAGAAGAAGAGATCTCAGCACCAAAACCTCCTGTAACAGGAGCTTCATGACTGACCTGCCAAGTGTTTTTGGTGGAAACTAGTTTATTTAGGGGTTGTCATAACAAATATACAAACATGAAATGTCTATAGTTTCTTACAATTAGTCTTCCAGTTTTTTTGACTGAAGCTTCCACAGTATCCTTATCCCATGGTATCAAGGTCCGCAGATCTATAAGTTCGCAAGATATTCCATCCTGCAAATTCTTCTCTTATATAACCTTTTCCATGTGATGAAAGGAATCATATTGGTATGTTACAAATTTTTAAAAAGAGTTATTTTTTTCATTTTTCAAGTTCTAGATAAGGCCATGATGCAATATGGGTTATGGTGGAAGTCGAAGGGGGAAGAGATGATCAAAGAGAAGATAACAATAGTAGGAAAAATTATTATGTGCGGCGTCCGGATTTGTCCGGAGACCAATTAAATGAGCCACATCGCCCCAAAAATGTACCGCGCTTGGTACCGAGCGCTTGGTACAGCTCGGTACCGAGCGCGTAACCAGACGGGAGAACCGTCCGGTATCCGCACGGAATAATTGCTCCAATAGTAGAGGCATATTAGAAGAGAGATAATTAAAGAGAACACTGTTTTAATACCATATTAGAAGAGAGGAGAAAGAATGGCTACATCCTTAATTGCCATTTTAGTGCAAGCATGTGTTGATAAGAAAGAGAAAGTATAATAACAGAAAGTACAATAAATAAGAATATCTTGCATAATGAGAAAATATTATAAGAATAAATAATGCAGATTCTTATGATAATAATTAGCATTATATGATGACAAGTAAAAACTCCATCTTTCAAGAAGTGGATCCATATTTTAAGCAGAAAGTAAAAACTATTTGACCTGCTTTCTGCTATACAGATAACCATTTTTGTCAAGACATAAAGATGTTCAATCATGCAGTAAGAGAAAATCTTTATTTTATTATGTCTATTAAAGGAGAGATTATTAGGTGTGGAGTGCGGACGGGGAGAACCGTCGGCACAAGCATTGGGTACCTAACGGTACCCGCACTCAGTACCGCTGGGTACCGAGGTACCCAGTGCTTGTGAGGACGGTGCGCACTCCGCACCTAATAATTATTCCTATTAAAGAGAGAGTTGGTAACAAGTTACATTAGTTAAAAACAAGGCTTTGATGAAAAATTCATAAAAAAACAGACCTTTGCAGCAGAATCGCAAGCTTGTTCCAATACTGAAATTTGAGCTCCCCAACCAACAAGTGTTATGTCACTGCCTTGACGAATCACCTGTGAGAGCTTATACATCAAATCTACAGATGCTTGATTTCAGTCTAACAGACAGAAGGGACATGAAAACCTCAGCTTCAGAGAGGGGCAACATATAGTCCTGCTCAGGAACTTCTTCAACAGACAATCTGTAGAGCCACTGGATCGTAATCACAACAAGGACATTAGGAATCCTAAATAGAAAACAAATAGAAGAGTAGAATGCCAACAAATAGCAACATAAAGCTACCACCTTGGGTTCAAAAAACACAACTGGGTTTGGATCACGAATGCTGGATAGTAAAAGGCCCTTTGCTTGCAGTGGGCTTCGAGGTATCACCACCTGTGAAATTGAACATTTTCAAATCATTACAGTGAATAAACCTCTAAGAAATGTAAGGGCATCTCCAATGGAACAGCACACCCGTTTGTCGTTCTTACGTCGCTCCAACCAAGCCTCAATTTTCTTCGTGGATGAACAGTGCGACGCCAATATTGACGTTGCACTGTTCATCACCCATTTGTTTTTTTATTTTTTATTTTTTTAATTCGAAAATTATATAAAAATGAAGTATGATCAACCTTAAGACATTTTGGTGAATTACTGTATTTTAGAGTGAAAAATGAGTTTTTCGGTTGGAGATGCCCTAATGCATGTAAACATTGCGCAAGGTCCAACTTTTCAACTTCATAGTATATAATTAGTCTGGTCACTTGCTGTTTATGATCAACCTTAAGACCAGGAACATGACAGAAGAAAGCCTCCGGTGATTGTGAATGATAATGGCCCCCATGGCCAACTGCTCCGTATGGACTTCTTATAGTCAAACCTACAGCAACAAATTATCTAATGAACGTCTGCAAGATTAAATAAGTTTATGTAGCAAAATTAAAAGGCATTACCTCCACAGTTGAACTCATTACCACTTCGGTATCTGAACTTAGCTGCTTCATTCACAATCTAGAGAGGCAAAAAATAAGATATTTTCCTTTAAAATGATGTTTGAATAGTAATTACAATTTGTTTGGAAATTTGAGCTAGGAGAATGAGAATTGATCTCGACTGCCTTGGTCTTTTTTTAGCTCACTCGAATGACTCACGAGCCAGCTCATTTATTATGACAAGAGAAAATGGTTATGATTTAAGCAATTATTATAATAAAATGATAAAAAGAATGAGAAATTATACGAATAATTATAAAGAATTGTTTAATATAAAAAAAATTGGGATATAATTTAAAAAAAAATTCAACAACTTTCTTTTTAAATCCTAAATTCTAATATATTTTATATTAATATTTTTTAGACAAGTTGGCTCACGAGCTTACAAGTCCAGTCGGAGCTAGCTCAAGCTTGGCTCACGAGCCATTTATCGAGCCGAGCTCAACTCGGCTCACGAGTCAGCTTGACTCACTTACACCCATAATCCTTACTCTGCAAGCTAGATTTCCTACATACAAAATTTTATCTTATAAAAATATTGGAATTTGAAAAAGGAAACAAAACAAACATTTGACCAATAACCTTAGAAATTTTGAAAGAAAAAAAGAAAGTAGAAATATCCTAGAAAAAGTTTTGTTGTTCTTAACATCATGATCAACATTAAAACTATAGCCTCACCTAGTAGAGAGCAAAAATGTGATACGTTCGGGAGCAGGAATCAACAATCAAGCGCCAGAATTACACAGAAAAATAGCAAATTACAGCAAATGTAGGGGAAATAATGACTATTTTTTTATAATAACTCAACAAGAAACAAAAAATACAATCGACCTACACTTAGAGAGATAGATTGTCTCTCCCAATCAATCTAGACATCGCTAGGAAGCCCTAAAAAAAAAACTACAACAAAAAAATAACTCCAGAAATATAACCCTAATTCAAAATAACATCCCTATTTAATCCCCCCTCTTTCCCTTCAAAACAGCCCTAAATGAACTCCCTTTTCTTTTTTAAATTCCCTCCTTACTTTGAATTCAAATTCCCCCATTAATTCCTTACTTAATTATCCTCCTTGCATAAAGAATGATTGGCTTCATGGGCCCCACAAGGGGGGTCGATTCCCCAGTTGTCCCGCCTCCTATAGCTGGCCCGCCCCTTGGCTGTTGGACCGACTACAAGATTGGTCCTGTTGGACCGATCGTAACATTACTCTCCTCCCAAAAATGCACATTGTCCTCTAGGTGAAAGGTTGAAAATTCTCTTATGATTATCTCATAAGACTCCCAAGTGGCATTATGCTCTTGTAGATCCTTCACTTGATCTACACCTTCTGTGTCCCTGTCCCCCCTGCGTACACTGCTACTTCCATGGGTTCCAACATAACTTCCCTGTCCTCTGTCAAGGTTGGGGGTAGCGATGATGGTGTGTGTTCTCCTATCGTCTTCCTCAGATGTAATACATGAAAGGCTAGGTGCAAGACTGAGGATGGAGGTAGGTTTAGTTGATGGGTAACAGCTCTGACGCGTTCCAAGATCTCATAAGGCCCAAAATATTGTGGGGATAGTTTTTCATTCCTTCTCTTGTCTAATGTTTTATGCATGTAGGGCCTCAATTTTAAGTAAAACATATATGCTGGTTCATAATTTACCTCCCTCTTGTGTTCATCCGCCTTCCTCTTCATGACCTATTGGGCTCTTAGTAAATGCCCTTTGAGCTCAACTAGTATCCTGTATCTCTCCTTCAAGTACTCCTCTACACTGGACACTGGTGTAGTGCTGCCCCCATAATGAATCAAGTGGGGTGGGCCTCTCCAATATAGAAACTGGAAAGGAGTAGTCTTTGCTGCTGAGCGGTACGATGTGTTGTATCAATATTCCGCCCATGCAATCCACCTAGCCTAACTCTTCGGGGCGTTTGATACAAAGCATCTTAAGTAGGCCTCTACACTCTGGTTGACCACTTATGTCTGATCATCTATCAGAGGGTGGTAGGTTGTGCTTTGCTTCAACATCGTTCCTTGTAAACAAAATAGCTCCTTCCAAAAATGACTAAGGAATACTTTGTCTTTGTTTGACACAATGGCTTTTGGAAACCCATGCAAACGTACCACTTCTTGAATGAAAACAATAGTCACTGTGAATGCGATGTAAGGGTGCTTTAGAGCAATGAAATATGCGTACTTGCTCATACGGTCCACTAGTACAAAGATCACTGAAAACCCTTCTGACAATGGTAAACCTTCAATGAAATCCATTGTCACTTCCTCCCACACCATCTTCAGTAGTGCTAAGGGTTGTAGTAACCCTGTTGGCGTCATGACTATGTACTTATGGCTTTGGCATACATCATATTTGGCTACCTGGATCTCAACATCATGACTCATTCCTAAACAAATATAGCTCTTTTGATAGCCAATTGTATGTCTTCTAAACTTCGGAGTGCCTCCTATCGTACTACCCAAGTCCAAGGGAAAGAAATCCTCCACCACCTGAATACCCTATAGGATCATCACCACCCTTTTACATACCCCCGCTCCTCTCTATCTTGCTTGCGCCCATCATCACCCTGCATTCTTTCGTTTTTGCTAACTTCAATTCCAATCGATCCACCATCCAATTTGAGATGAAGTTATGTGTGGCTCTGCTATCCACCAGAACTATCACCGATTGCTCTCCAATTTCTCCCCTTACTTTCATGGTGTGATTTAGAGTAAATCCCACTACAGGGTTCAAAGACAACTCCCCCACATTCAAATGCAACTGCTCTGTCTCCTCTAATACCTCCTCTAACTCATCCCTTCTTTCCTCATCCCCCTCAGAGACCATCAAGACCAGAAGGGCTCGATTCTTACAACTCATCTTGAGTGTAAATCTCTCATCACACCTGAAGCATAGCCCTTTTTCCTGCCGATTTTGCACCTCTGCTTCCGTGAGGTGTTTGAAATTGTCTCCAGGATGAACTCCAATGCTGTTCTCCTTAGGGGATTCCCTCTGAAATGACATAGTCTAGGTCCTCGGTGCCAAGATAGTAGTGGTGTTCCTGTAAGTCCCTCCCATATGGTTGCTCCGGCTGGCCTTCTCCCATTGATGTTTCTCCTCCACCCTTTGTGCTAGCTCCTTGGTCTCTCTCAGCCCTCTAGGCCTCAATACCTTGAGCTCTGCTCGTATGTCCTCCCTAAGCCCCTTCATGAAATTCCCCTCCAATCTTTCCTCAGAGATCCCTTTCAATCTCCCCGACAGCAGCTCAAACTTCTCCCGGTACTCCATAATTGCCCTCCCCGAGTTAGGGCATAGAACTGCTCGTGGAGGTCTCCTTCCCGAATGGCTCAGAAACATTCCAACAAGCACTCCTTAAATTCCCCCATGAGAAGATCAAATATCTCTCCTCCCTCCATTGGATCAGGCTAGGGCTTTCCCTTCCAAACATAGACGTGCCACTATGAGTTTTTACCCTTCTGTCAGTCTATTAACGGCAAAGTAACGTTCCACCTGGTATACCCAACCCTGAGTATCCTCTCCTTCAAAGACATGCATCTTTAGCTTTCTCGATCTCGAATTCAATCCCTAATTGTTTCTTTCAATATTGGTTTCTCCTGTGTAGTGGTGGTGTGATTCTCTCCCATCTTCCCTTGGCAGATGTGGACCCATCTTCCCTTGGCAGATGTGGACCCCAGGCTTCAGCCCAACCCTTGCCTTCTCCGGCCCATCGTCCCTCTTATCTGAATGGTCTCTAAAAAGCTTCGGCTTCCCCTCTCCTTGCTGCCCCTTCTCCTGAATACTTTGATACACCTCCCATCGAAGCTTTTCGGGATGGTTCTTGAGGAAAAGTCATCTCTTCTTCATCATTGTCTTCTTGAAGTCTCTTTCCTTTCGGGTCAGCCATTGGACTAGCTGGTGGAGCCTTCGACTATATCTCGATTAATTTTCACATCATACCTTCCATGCTCTCGAATCGGTTTTCCATAGATGATAGCATTTCTTCCATTCCGTAATATTTTTCCTCAATCACAGCCTTGAGTTGTTCCATCTCTCCTTCCAACGCCCCATTTTCTTTGCAATCATTCATGGATTTAGGTTCCAAATCGCCAAAAACAGCAATGAAGGGTCTTCAATCCGTAAAAAACAGCAAGGGAAAGGAATTCTGCAGTAGATTTCAGCTAGTTGATGACGAATTTTGGTCTAGGACACGGTTCTGATACCAATTTGATACGTCCTGGAGTAGGAATCAGCAATCAAACGCAAAAATTATACAAAAAATAGCTAATTACAGCAGATGCAGGGGAAATAATGACTGATTTTTTATAACAACTCAACAATAAACAAAAGATACAATCGATCTACACTTAAAGTGGTAGATTTTCTCTCAATCAATCTTGACGCCGCTAGAAAGCCCTAAAAAAAAAACTACAGCAGAAAAATAACTCCAAAAAAATAAACCTAATACTAAATAACACCCCTATTTAATCCCCCTCTTTCCCTCCAATACAACCCGAAAAGAACTCCCTTTCCTTAATTAAATTCCTTGCTTACTTTGAATTCAAATTCCCCCCATTAATTCCTTCCTTAATCCTCCTCGCATAATGAATGATTGGCTTCGTGGATCCCACAAGGAGGGCCGATCCCCGAGCTATCCCGCCTCCTGTCGTTGGTCCGCCCCTTGGCTGTTGAGTCGAATGCAGGACAAGTCCTGCTGGATTGGTCGTAACAAATGCAGCCAAATATAGTTCATATCGTAAAAGTAAATTGAGCGTTTAATATAATGCATAAACTCAATGCATAAACTCAAGTTCTGCTAATTTTATTAAATTTTTTCACTTTTAACTTTTTGAAGAAATAATATAATTAACAGAGAAAGGAAAAAATCATGGCAACATTGGTTAATAATGAGGTCACGATGACTATATATTTTAAAGTGTTAGAAATTTTTTTTATTTTTATTTTTTTTATATTACTTAATGTGTTAGAAAACATTTATTTTATATTTTATTATTATTTGAGTTTATCATAATGGGTATTTTCTCCATAAATGAGATCTTAGGGCATACATTTATTCATTGAATAACTTAAAAAAAATAATTATGGATTGCCTTCCATAGCAACTTTCTAGGCAGCATAATTGCAGGCATTCATGGTTTATTCAATGATATACATGCCTGGTCAAAGGCAGGATAGATATAGTCTGCAAATTGGATTTCTGCTATAGCTCGGTTTCCCTGAGAATCAAAGACGAAGGCTGAATGATTAATAGTATATGAAAACTACTACGAAATTTGAATAAAACAAAAAAGAAAAAAAAAGTTTGAAAAACATAAAGCAAGAAAGCATCATTAAGAAAAGAATCACCATTGCCGCCAATCCTATAGCAAATCCTGCAATTCCCTGCATTGTATAACAGGCCAGAATTATAAAAATGAGATGACACTGACAGGAATAAAAGGATAAGAAACTAAACCCATAAATCTATCAATGGAATTTAGTATTGGGCCATTACTAATAAGCACCATATAGCAACATCAACACAATTAGATATATTTGGATAGTGTGCCAAACAATTTTTATCATGAACATTGAGTAAATGCTACAAAATATCATTAAGCAGTCCGTGCTATAATGGTATTTGTTTTTCGGAAAAAAGTAACACGTCGGCAAATCCGTCAGAAATGTTTCGTCGGTAATTCGCCGGAAAAGCCGCCGGAATTTATGACGAATTTATTTCCGCTGGAAATTCTACCGGAAATGAACTGTTTTCCTGTAGTGCACCAATGTTTAATCATTTCTATACCTGTTCACATAGGGGGGTATTGAATACTCTATTTCTACCAAATCTATCAGCTAATCCTGTCGTGCAGCGGAAGACACCACCAAAGCCCACATCCTCGCCAAAGACATAAGCACTACAAAATAGCCAATTATTAGCTAGATAATTTAGCAGCAACAAAATTTGCATCGATTCTATGCTCATCGACGTAAAAGAGAATGGCATCCAGTAAACATATTTGGTTGGAAGTTTGTAATTTAATAAATGATGCCAATTATCCCACATGCAATGGAAAGTCTCAATAGCCTCCCACATTGCACATCTAGGCAGCCAAATGCAATTCTCATTGTGCCACAAACAGAATTATGTTCAACTGTTTCAAATACACCAATATATGATCAATCATAACTTAGTCAATGAGTTCATTAGTTTTACCACTTAAGAAAGAAAAAGCTTAATGTTTACATACTTGGACAATAACTAAGGGAATTATCAACTCATTTCCATTTCGTGCCCATAAATTTATGAGTGCATTCTGATTAAACTAAACAATACTGGTTTGCTCAGTCAATTACAATATTCTTAGTTTATGACAGTAAGATCAGTTCATTCAACAACATCAAGCCTTTGTCCCACAACGTGGGGTCAGCTGCATGAATCCTTTTTCTCCATTGTGTCCTTGGATTCATGTCATGATTATTTAACAGGTTTTATGCTAGCTGTCGACTACCTAAAGCAACCCTCCACTTTTCTCATCCAGGACTTGGGACCTAGCAACGGCAGTGTTAGTAAAATTAGTTCATTCATGTTAAAAAAAAAAGTTTGTGTTGTGCGCAATCAATAAATCTAGTAGATTTGCTTGTAGTATTCCTGTTTGATGATAGCAACGCGAGGAGGAAGGTCATAAAGTATGTATTAGCATGTCATATGTAGATTAAAGAAAACATTTAGTTTGATTGGTTGAATACAAGTAACAGATAGCTAAAATCCAAAGAAAGCACAAAAAACTTCAAGATCATGATTAAGAGCAACCCAACCACCTTAGAAAGAAAGATATGTATTTGTTCAAGAAGGATAGCCTACCTGTTGAAATTGTGCCTAGCTTGAGATAACTTCTAAAAGGTGATTAGCATACGAGCTAGCATTCCAAATGAATTTATGAATGTCATTTTCTTAAATAACAGGAATCAATTATGCCAAGCAGGAGTGGCTTCAAGTTCCACAGTTTTGGTATTGCAAAACACAATCCATGATGCTCATCAACAACAGTTGACATCATATTTACGTAGTAAATGCAACAAATAAAAGTTTGAGCATTTTTAATCATTCACATTTGGCGCCACCAAATTATGATCCATTATATACCAATCCAAAAGAGAGAAAGAGTCACTTCAAGTTTTCTTATTGAAGGTTAACTGCGTTGATGAGATTACATTGAATAAAGAAAGTAGCAACATCCAATTCTCCAATACTTTCAAGAGCATCGAACCCCAAAACTTCTAAATTTTAATTCATAAAAAAAAAAAAAATCATAGTAAACTTCTAAAATATAAGAAATTCATCTCTTACAATAAAAAGTTGAGCAAACAAGCACCAAAAGCATTCTACAATTTCAGTATAGTCAAATTAGCAAATCCAATAGCCCAGAAAACGGTAAAAACTCCATTTCTACCCAAAAGTCGCGTTTTTTAGTACTAAGCAAAAGCAAGTGCCATTTTTTCCTCAAAGCAAGAAAGCACGACGAAACTGGAATCAAAACAGCATGGACTGTAAACACAAAAGAAAAAAAAAAAATCCCCCCTTTTTTTTTAAGTAGACTCTTACCGGGGGTCGGTTTCGAGAGCGATGTGCAGAGCCTGGTTGATGGCAGAGAAGAGATTGATTGGCTTCCCCTCTCTCGTCGATTTCTCCACCTCAAAGGACGTTGATAAGCTCCTTGTCGCGGCCACTAACCCTCTGCTTATTCCCCTCCTCAGAACCATCGCCATTCTAGATCAATTTCACAGGTCAACTGGAATTAGAGAGGGAAAGCGACAAAGGGCGAACTCTGCCAGATTATGTTATAAACTTCATTCTGCAAGTAATCACAACCAAGTAACCTGGGAGGATAAGAGCAAGCTTCTTCGATCATTCAGCAAACCGAAGAAGAGCTGCTCCAGATGGAATTTAACGGTCATGATGTAACCCATTATAGTCTCGCTGTTTAGGCATATAGAGCAAAATTTTATAATGCTCATTTTAATTTAATATTATCCATTTGTTAATCGATGGGATGAAATCACGGTAAAGAACCCATAATTTGTAAAGAATTGGACAAGTTTTTAAACTAAACCTAATATTATTTTAATTTATTTGATTCGGCGTTTGAAAGAAAAAAATTAACTCTAGTTAAAGTCGCTCGTTAAATAGGCGACTGACTTCTTTTTATGTAAGTTTGTATGTACAATCATTAATTTAACTGTTTTGATAAAAAAAAATTTAGTGTCTAATCACATCAGCTTATTTCTTTCTTTAATGTTGTATGTAATTAATGCTATACACATTAGGATATCTTAAGTCATTGTTGATGTCATTGAATGCTGAATTACTTGTGAAAAGATTTTTTTTCAAAAATATGAGTTGAGGTGAGAAGTTGTGTTATTCCATCAACAAGTCTTATATATGTCATCTTTTTTTAATTTTGTCATTTTCATTACTTTGTTCAATGTTATTTCATTCATTTGGTTATAAATATGTTGTGTAAAGCCCTCCTTAAGAGCTAGAAGGAAGCTACTGAAGAAGATATGTTGGAGTTGCTTTGATCAGGTGATTCCTCTGCATTACTTAATCTTTGAAGTTTGATATTTTTCTGTTTGTAATGAATTGGCCCATTATGGAAAAAATTAAAAAAATTCCAACCAAAGATTTACCAGAGAATGAAATCAGATGATTGCACCAATATATGGGAAGATGCCCAAATATTCCTTTTGAGATAAAAGAAAAAAAAATGAAATATATAGATGTTGCATGCATGAGTGGACAATATATCATTATTATATGCTTATGAGTATGCACAAAGACTTGATCAAAATCAATGTGTATAGAAGGAATAGTTTCCTGAATAGTCAAGGTTTGATAAATTTAGATAAGATGTTCTACACACACAATCGTCATTTTGTTGACCAACAAGTCCTCCAAATGCATAACGACCATATCATTCTTTGTCATTCTTGGTTGGCACAAGAGAATGAATTTATTGTTCATTCTTATGAAAATCAGATAAAGGAGATTTGTAATGTAGGTACAAGCAAAAATATTTTTGATGTAACTGGCTGGCAAGATTTGCAGCACGAGGGTGAGTTTTGTTTTAAATATTGTCCTACACAAAGCCAACTTCAAGCATGTTTGCACAAGTTTATTAAGTGAGAATATAACTTTACGGTGTACGTGAACAAATTAACTCTCTAATATGATTCCTCCAAACTACCAAATACAGCTTAATAGCCTTGCGCCTAGCATTTCAAGCCTTCATGTATGATTCCTTGATATTGAATTTAGTTTCTATTATGCCAATGATTTCTCTTGGCTTTAAGTCTGTCTGCTAGTGTTCCAAATGCATAACCATCAGCTATGACGTGAAGGAGAATGAACTAACTTATAAATTGTGAATTGCACTCAAAGTGACCAACATCAAGAATAGGACTACTACACTCATGTTGATGCTTCACAGAAGATATTTTCCAGGTGTCCCCTAAATGTTTACTTAGCCCAACATGCAAACACCACAAATAAGGATTCACCATGCTTTCATGCTTTACACATGTTATTGTAAACTTATGCTTGTTCGATGCAAGTACTACATATTGAACATAATTTTGTATAGACCAACCTTATATAGTGAATTGTAGGTCCGATTTGCATGTAGAACACATCCCATTGCTCAATTCTGATAGAATTGAAATTCTTCTTCAACTTGATTCCCACCACTATCACTGTCAAATACAATTTCCTCATCCCATTATCGAGTTGCATGTTTTAACATAGTCATTATTGGCAACCATTATTTCTTTAGGAGGAAAAAGTCATAGAGCAATAATTTCAGATCATAGTAGTTATCTCCTCATAAACATCTACACCTACTTCATTTAAATCAGGTAGTATGTCATCAGAATCCTCACAACCCTGCTCATTGGATCTAATGCTTATTGTTTCATAACCAACATCAATAATATAAATGGACAGAGTCAAAGGTCCCGAAGCGTCATGCCAACAATGATTTTGCATGTGACTACATTAAAAAAAAAAAAAACTAAATTTTACATTTTTACTTACAAATTGATAGATAGCTAAAATTCTTAAACTTACTAATATGTTGAATATGATACTTATTGCGCACATAGATAATCAATTATTTGAAACCTTGAAATATTGTCATTAACTTCGACCCTTTCCTCCATGCTCAATGACTATGTATTTGAGATGTTAGATTTCTGTATTAATTACTGGCACACTCAGTTCTTCAACTTTCACATACAATATAAGAAATTCTATAGTTGCTTGACATAACACAACTTTGCACATGTCATCATCCTCAACATGTGATGCGAAAAGGATTTTCTTATGATTATGCACAAATACTTAATTTCAATTGGATTTAAATATACCTTTCCCATTATGTAAATCAAAATCAGGCAACGTTAATGGCTCTCCCTCCTCTGGAAGCCGCCGTCAAGGAAAGTAACGACGATCGTCTTCAACACCTAAAACTCTTTATATGTCACATTGGATTTTTTTTTAAAAAAGGAAAAATATTAATATAATTAATAAATGTTAGTTTATCTGAATACTAATAACTATACATAACAACAGCTAAATTTAAGTGATTCTATGTTTAAAAAAGGGAGAGAAAATATTTTCACTAAGTAAAATATAAATAGGTAAATTGTAGAAATATATAAAGTAGCAAACCTCTTAACAAGTTATGCTAAATTTAATTGCTTCTTAAAAAAAATAGATTACATAAATGTAAGTTTTTTCTTAATATAAAGCTAATGTAAGTGCTGTTTTAAATTCCGATAAAATAAAAATATATATTAAAATAAAATATACAAATATGAAAATTGACAAATATATTAAAATAAAAATATATTAGCTAAACGCAAACCTCTTTATAGATATATTAAAATAAATATATCTAAATATATACAACTTGAGCTAAATATAAGTGCTTTCTAAAATTTAATATTTCACTAAAAAATTCACATACAAAAAGATCATTAATTATAATTCATTATAACTAAGTGCTCGCTCATATTTCTGCATTAGCAAACCTCATACAAACAACTTTGGGCGACGAATTCAAAAAGCACTTTAATTCAACCCCACATCTTCATCAAACACAAATAAGATTTTAGAAAAAAAAAATTACAAAAACACCATAGCAAAACAAAGAAAATATACCACTACTAAGTCACACTAATGTTTCTACATAGCATTAACTAAAAAAAATTAAAATAAAATAAAAAAATGAAACCCAAAAAACTTACCTTCAATTGTCGGACCTCTCGGCAGATCTACAAATCTCGAACGAAGAAGCGTGAATGGGGAGTAGTTGGATGGGCGTGTAGGGAGAAAAAAAAATCTTTAAAATGCTAACTATGGCAAGTCACTGGTTTAACGGGTGACTTGGCCATTGCCATGCCAGCGATCTAGTCAGTAGTCGTTAAATTTCTTTTTTCAAATGCCAAATCAATAAATTAAATTAATATTTGGTTTAGTTTAAAAATTTGTCCTAAATAATTTAAATGTTTTGAGAGTTCAATTAGTTTATGGGCCATTGGGATTATTGTTATTTATATTTTGATAAAAGATAAAAATATATATATTTAGTGGCTTAAAAATATAATATTTTTATTTATTTTATTAAAGATCACAATAGTTAATTCATTTTGTGATTTGAAAGAGGGCAGTAGCGTCAAAGATGTTGTTAGATCATCAATGAAATACACTTTTCTTATTTCTTACTACTTTTCTTTTCTGATTGAAACTCAATTTTTATTTGGCTACTGTTTTTCATTGTTTTCAGGATGTTGCTTTCTACAACAACTTACAAAAAATTATTTTCTTTATGAGAGGCTTATAATCACTTTGTTCACATGTACAGGGTGGCAACACTGTTCTTTGGGGCAAATTATTGCATCCGGTGTCCAGATTCATCCGGACACCAATCCGGTGTTGCCACGTCACCAAAATATACTGGGACCCAATGTATTTGGGTGATATGACGTCACCGGATTGGATGTCCGGACATCCGACGACCGGACGTAATAATTCGCCATTCTTTGAAGGCCTGCATGTTTGGTTGTCTTCCCATAGCTATTATTATTATTATTATTATTATTATTATTTTATGATTATTGCAATTAAGCAATATACCATATAAATTCCTAAATAAATAATAGAATACTTATCGATTTTTTCCTTATATATACTCATAGTAAAATGGTTCACATTGATGTTACATGATTGGAATTTCTTATGTTTAATGGATTACAATTTCCATTTAAGATAAGAAGTTTTATAACTCAAACTAATTGCACCTAAGGGCTAGAAAAATGTTGAAGAATAAACTAACAACTTAGTATGACATCCAATATTTGCAAAAAAGATTAAGACTTTATTTGGGGCAGCTTTTTTATTGCTTTTGAAGGCAAATTTTTAGTACAAATTTTTATTGAATTAGATATTCTTTAACTAAAAAATTGCTTGAAATGCTATAAAAAAGCTATCACAAATGAAGCATAAGTAAAAAAAGGGAGATTTATGCATGTATCACTGAGAATTTTCTTATTTATAAAATTGGATAAATTTCAAAATATTCCTCTGATTGTTTATATATAGCTCACGTAGTCGTAGAGCACTACGTTGTTCTAATTTAATCCATCAACTATCTAACATTGATTCAAAATGATTCTATTAGAATTAAATTAAGATTATATTTTTATAGTCAATAGACTAAATTGAGATCAATTTTATATCTTATTTACAGGAGGAGGGATCATTTTTGGATCAATTTTGTGCAGTTAAGATATTAAATTGAAGT